AGGAGGTGAAGACGAAGAAGAAGGCCAGCGGGGGGGGCGGGAAGCGAAGGAGAGCCAACCCTGAAAGGGATGGGCCAATGGGCCACCACCTGAAACCTGGCCGTGTTGAGGCCATGGACGCCCGCACCCGAGCCTCCAGCATCGCCGCCAGGCACTCATCGTAGCCTCTCTTGGCGGCGTAGAAGAGGGCACCCTGGCCGTTCACGTCGGTGGTGCCGAGCCTGAGCCGAGCCCCTCCCACCCAACCCAACAGAAAGCAGGACAGACGAGCCATGGCCCTCCGAGAGGCTCCCCGAAACCCGATTGCCCCCTCTGGGGAGCTCCGAGGCACGCGCGACTGGGAGATCTTGTCTGAAGGCCACCGGCAGCCGAGGGGGAACGCCAGCGGCAGCCTTGGCTGGGTCGAATCGCGAAATCGGGTCAGCTTTGGAATGCCATGTGGGACCTGCTCTAGAACAGGTACCGCGGACAGATCTACCCTTTTTCCGACCTTGTACTGCGCCGAATACAACGGTCGCGTTCTCTATAGACGGATCCACTCCGCATGTGTCTACGCACGTAGGACACCCCATCAGTCTATAGACGCTGGTGGTTAGAAAACGAGAAAACTATTTGGCATAGGCCCGAGACAGTGGTCTTCTAGAAACATGTGGACTTCGCCCTCCAAGGTCGGATCGGAAAAGAGTCCGGCCGTCAGCGAACTGAGCGAATCGAATACTCACCAATCGGATGGCCACATGACGCGACGCCCAAAGGTCCGAACCCATTCCCCGGGACCGGCTTTTCATCCTGAGTCGTTTTCTGACGGTCCCCAGGTCCTGTAAGGACCCCCTGAGCCGAAAGTAGCGACCAACCTCCCATGGCAGAACCAGACGGGCAGATCGGGCGGGTAGACCCTAACGGGCGGGCCGGGAAGGCAGGCCCAGGCTGCCAGGTCGAGCAGGTGGGTTGCTGAAGCGTGCGTCCTGCATGAATCGCGAGGAAAACTCGAGCGACAACGCGATTCCCAACCGTGAGAAATCCAAAATGAACGTGTGATTCCCGAGTGTCGAGGGCGGGCGTCTGAATAAATTGTGGGGGGCCCACGAGGGAGCACGACTCCTACACAAATGTTGAAGAAGTCCCGTGCGAACGGAATTCTGGTATAGTATGAGGACGTATCAGGCGGGAGCCGTTGTTGTTGTAACTCGGGTGCCAGGGAGGCCGTGTAATGATCCCCCAAATGTTCCCACATGAAAAACCGAGCGCGAGCCACGGCAGGGGCGCTTCAATTGGAAACCACGGGGGGGACCAATAATAATCATCATTTCAGATATGAAAGTTCAACAACAACATCATCATCATCAACAACAACAGCAACAGCAACAACAACAACAACAACAACAACAATCATTTTACCCGAACGCGTGGTGTTCTCCCCAGTGCCAGGGTTTTCATACGACACCAGGCAATACCCCCACTTCGTGGGGGGGCATTACAAGCTCTACCAAATATCCAAACGACTCTTCGCGACCACCCAAACCCAGCTTCCCGCCCTATGACGTTGGGACACTTCACTTCGTGGCGTGCGGACGACCGTGGCTACTACACTGGCGTGGGGTACACACCCACAGAACCCAATGGTTTTTGGAGATTTCGGCGTGCGCGCGCGAAGAAAAAACGAATGTGTCCCGCATGGTATTATTTGACAGGGATGATGGCCCTGGCAGGTGCGCAACCGTTGTCGCAGAAGTTCGAAAAAGTTGCTCGCAAAAGCCCGTTTGACAGAAATGTTTAAAAAGTGTTGGGTTTCCTACGAATCCGCAAGAGCGCGCGGGATGAGATTTTGACATTTTTTTGTTGAAAAACCATTGGTTTTTTGATGTTTTTATGTTAAAATCGCTCCGAACACTAAGCTTTTGGAAGGATTTCGTCTTGCGCGCGCGAATGTCCACTTTACCTTATTTTTTGCAAGGGATTCTTGAAATTTGATTATATTAGAACAAGAAATGTCATTTTATAGTGTTTTTTGCAAGGGAAAACGGATTACAACAAAACAACCGGATCTGATCACATCGTTTTACCTGAGGCTTCCTCACGAAAATGATGAAAATGTAGCTGCGGCCTAGGCGCGGCGGGGGGGGCGCGCACCAGGGGGCCCAACAATAATTATTCTTTAGAATTAATAATGTTCAACAACAACAACAACAACAACAACAACAACAACAACAACAACAACAACAACAACAACAACAACAACCACAACAACAGCAGCAGCAACAGCAACAGCAACAGCAACAACAACAACAACCATTTTAAGACTGTTCGCCCTTATCTTCTCGAGAGTCCAATAACGTATATTTCCAAAACCCTCGATACCCGCCCTCTTCGTCTTCGATCGAACCTCTTTTGGGGGGTATACTTTTCTTCCCTGCAGGCCGGGCCCCAGCAAGCGGCGGGGCGGCCGCGGACCGCCGGCCTGGCCAGCGGCAGCGCTGATCGGCAGGGCGGCCGCGGACCG